TTTTTTCTTCTCTAAAACAATGACTCGCCGATTTCTCACAAGTGGAAACCGCCTCTCTTCTCCAACACCCAATACAAAGTTCCGCAGCAACAAAACGCGCGCGCTTGACACGCTCCTATTTGTAGGTAATAATATATATGTGTATATATATATATATATATTTTGCTCGAGTTATCTCTCGCTCGACACTTATAATTTTTTTTCCCGCAGCTGTAGTTCTCGGATTTAGTTTACAGCTCCGTGGGGGCATCGTCTCATATCGACGTTGCGTGGTTGTTGTCGCCTCCTCCGCCGTTCTGGCTCTGGCTCTGGCCGGTGTGATGCGGAAGCGCCGCGAGCTCGTTTCTACTGAGGTGGTTGACGATACCGGCGCCCAACGAGTCGCCCACTACGTTGACAGTCGTTCTGCACCGGTCCCTGGAGAAATCGGAGCAACAATGTCGTATTTGTTCATAAATCATTACATTTAATATTCGTTTGGACAACAACAGGAAGTTTGGTAGGTCACAAAAAACTCTCATTGGTCAATCGACGCTGATTTCAACGCTGAATCAGCTCAGAAATCAACATGGAAATCAGTCATAAATACATCGTTGATTCGGTATTGAATCATCTGTGACTCATCGTTGATGCAGCGTTAATTTAGGATATAATTAATTTTATCTTTAATTTTGATATATTTGAATGCAATTTGATACCATATCGAACCCTCGTTATCTTGATTTAAATCGAAACTGAATCAACGGAAGTCTTGCGTCAAATTACAGTGAAATCATTATTGATTGAATGGAAAATAAATATTTTTCATACGCATTACCGCACAAATGAAAAGTTTTAAAATATGTTGTAGGTTTAACGTATATGATTTGAACATTAATTATATTGTAATAATTTTTAAGAAAAATTATGGCAGGCTTAACGAAGAATCAGTGTTAATTCAATACTAAATCAACGTTGAATCAACGATGTACTTCACGATTGATTTCAGGGTCCATATATTTACTGATTCAGCATTGAATCAGCGTTTATCTGACGTTGATTCAACATTGAGATTTTTAATAGGGATAGGACAACTTCATATCTTAGGCAATCAGTTATTTTTTTAGCAGTTCAATAAAGTATGCACGTGAACATTCTCAAAAAGCGAAAGAAAATAAACTCACAGCAGCCAATCGATGGCAAGGATCAAAGAAATATCCCCAGATGGAAGTCCAACGGTGTCCAGCACCATGACCATCGTGACCAGGCCGGCTTGAGGGATACCGGCAGCACCGATACTCGCCGCGGTTGCGGTAATACTACAAATGGACCAATAAGTAGCGCAATTCATCGTTGCTTTCATTAAAAAAAAAAAAAAAAAAAATTGGTTCAGTACTCACAATGGTTGAGCTTTGTGAGTACTGTATTTACGCACAAAGTTCTAACAAAGTTTAACTATTGTGAGTACTGAACTAATTTTTTTTTTTATTTGTTTTTCAAGTTTTTATTTTACTAAACTACATGAATGCAGTACTTATTGGGCAGGCAAATGTCATGCAGTTCCACTCTTGGTGTCAAAATCATGCAACTGCGGGTACCTACATTATACGTCAACAGCATACACCAATGCACACTTTTAGTAATAATCAATTGATTAGCAAAAAATTAGTATATTTATTCATCTGATAATGGATGCTATCATAAAAACAGGCTCTAGGAATATTACACACTCGATTTGTTTTAACTCTGGAGCCTTAAAAAAAGGTGAACAGTTGGTTGAAAGTAGTCATGTGTGCGATGTTACAAAATTTCAAAGTGATAGAGTTAGCAATTTGACAAGTGCCGTCGTAATAAGGCAGACCTCGGTAACTTCAGCTTCTTACAAAGTTTACCTGCATGTACGTTTTATTCAGATTATTTCAAAACTTTCTGAGTTGTAATGCACATGAAAATTACCTTGATTTACAGTTGGATAATCATCAAAATTTATGTAATTTTACTCTATCTGTCTTTGCGCTACTGTTACACTGAACAACAGAGCACTTTCTTACACCCATATGTCATAAACGTTTAAATAATAGAAATCACAATGATCATGTCTCATTTCACGTATTTGTATTTCTTTTTGCCGTCTGCTTCTGAGAGTATGCTCTGAATCGAAAACTAACGAGGCTTCATTCATATATTGTTCCATTCAAACATTTTACAACCGTTCTTGGCACCACATAGCTCATTTTTTTTCATTTGTGTAACGACGATTTGATAATATTGATACTATTCATGCATACGTGGTAATAACATCTGTAAATTTGAAGAAATACAGTTATCCTTTCCTTAATTAAGCAAAAATGACAGTAATTTGATACCCCAGGTTTCCTGTTTTCGCCACTACGCACCCTGGCGTCGACTTATTTATCCCCTTCCATCACTTGCACCTGGCCAACTCTTACAAAGCTTCGTTATTCCTATGGGTCTCACGACCCCTTTGTTACCTCATAAATTGTGTTTCTTTATTTTGTAATGTTTTTTAACACATCTCATGTTCAATTATTTTTTGGCACTTCTCTCATGTTTAAAAAACTTCGTTCTTACCGTAAGTCCCATCACCCATTCATACCCCCTGGTTTGTTTCTTTTAAATTTTTCTCATTGTTTTTAAATTTTCATTATTTTATTTTTTTATTCAATCTTTTTTTCATTTGTTTTTTTATTTAATTTTTTTTGTAATTCCGTTGTATTATTTTTTGTCTTTCTTGATTTCATTTCATATTTTCTTTTTTATTGTTGATTTTAATACTCTTGTTTCTTGAATTTTTTTAGAAACTTGTTTTTTTTAATTTTATTA